GTAAGTATAAACACCATGGGACCATGCAGCCGTCATACCGCTCAGGAACGAGACGCGTTCTGTCTCCTAGAGATGAACGTACTTTGGTGCGAAAAGTGCAAATCAATCCCAGAACAACAGTAAAGGACCTTGTGAAGATGCTGGAGGAAACAGGTACAAAAGTATCTATATAACAGTAAAACAAGTCCTATATCGACATAACCTGAAAGGCCGCTCAGCAAGGAAGAGGCCACTGCTCCAAAACCACCATAAAAAAGCCAGACTACGGTTTGCAACTGCACATGGGGACAAAGATCATACTTTTTGGAGAAATGTCCTCTGGTCTGATGAAACAAAAATAGAATTGTTTGGCCGTAATGGCCATCGTTATGTTTGGAGGAAAAAGGGGGTCCTTGCAAGCGGAAGACCACCATCCCAACCGTGAAGCACGGGGGTGGCAACATCATGCTGTGGGGGTGCTTTGCTGCAGGAGGGACTGGTGCACTTCACAAAATAGATGGCATCATGAGGAAGGAAAATTATGTGGATATATTGAAGCAACATCTCAATACCAGTCAGGAAGTTAAAGCTTGGTCGCAAATGGGTCTTCCAAATGGACAATGACCCCAAGCATACTTCCAAAGTTGTGGCAAAATGGCTTAAGGACAACAAAGTCAAGGTGGAGTGGCCATCACAAAGCCCTGACCTCAATCCTATAGACAATTTGTGGGCAGAACTGAAAAAACGTGTGCGAGCAAGGAGGCCTACAAACCTGACTCAGTTACACCAGCTCTGTCAGGAGGAATGGGCCAAAATTCACCCAACTTATTGTGGGAAGCTTGTGGAAGGCTACTCAAAACGTTTCACCCAAGTTAAACAATTTTAAGGCAATGCTACCAAATACTAATTGAGTGTATGTAAACTTCTGACCCACTGGGAATGTGATGAAAGAAATAAAAGCTGAAATAAATCATTCTCTCTACTATTATTCTGACATTTCACATTCTTAAAATAAAGTGATGATCCTAACTGACCTAAGACAGGGAATTTTTACTAGGATTAAAAGGCAGGAATTGTGAAAAACAGAGTTTAAATGTATTTGGCTAAGGTGTATGTAAACTTCCGACTTCAATTGTATATCTTGGTTTTTCGCGTATTGTATTAAACTGAAACGTTCTTGTATTTGTTTGTAAGTGTCTATTTTTAATAAACCCTGTTTGATTGATATGTGTCAAGTCTAGTAAGACTTTTGCCATTCTATTGCTTATGAGCTTTGTTATTAATTTAATGTCACAATTTATTAACCTTAGGGTCTGTAATCAGCAGGGGACTCTCCAGATTTTCCTGGTTTTAATATAACTGAAATAACTGTTTGATACATGGAACTAGAAAGTACTGAATTGAGTGACATGTGTTGTCATTTGTGTAAATAGGGGTGCTACTTTGTCCCAAAATGTTAAATAGAATTCTATGGGAAAGCCATCCAATCCTGGTGCTTTTCTCTGAGTGAATGTTTTAAGAGTGTCTAATATTTCTTTTTGGGTGATCTCGGTTTTTAGTGATTCTTTTTTGTCTGCTGATAATTGCTTCAGGGTTGTTGAGTCTAAGAAGGCTGTAGGATCAGTTAAACTGTTGTTTAATGCTGATTTATATAGATTTTCATAGAAACTTTTAAAACAGACATTAATTGCGTTGTTTCTAATTAACGCATTTGTATCTTTATCTTTTAAAATTATAGCTGGTTTGGCGTGTATTCGTTTTGTGAGGGCTGCTAGATATTTACCAGGTTTATTTGCCATTAAATTGTATGCTTTATTTGAGTTTAATCTGTAGTTGTTGGCTCTCTTCAAAAGTAAAATAAGATATTCCTGCTTAAATTCAGAAATGTTATTTTCTTCTTTACAGTGTAAATATTTTTTTATGGGCTTTTCTAAAATAGTGATTTATTTAAATGTTACTTACATTTTTATTTCTAACTTTGATTTAACTTCTACCAATTCCTCCAATATACGCCTTAAAAGCATCCCAAATTATATCTCTGTCCTCTATGTCTACATTTGTAATGGTAAAGATTTTTTTAAAAAATGTTTTGCATATTTAATACATTTCGGGTCCATATTCTGTCGCTAAGTGTATTTTCTGTCGGTGTAATTATGCATGTAAATAATTTTTAAGCGGTTAATGACCTAAGATTTGAGAATCTGGCCTCCATTTCAGAAAATCCTCATTTACCTAAAATGTATCATTGGTGTTACTACTACTTCTGGTGGCACAATAGTAAAATGTATTTAAAGTAATTAAGCTACCATATTAGTAGTGTTATAATGTATCCTGTGTGGCTCAATTCTGAGACTTCTCCCGAAGCCACTCCTGCGTTGTCTTTGCTGTGTGCTTAGGGTCATTGTCCTGTTGGAAGGTGAACCTTCGCCCCAATCTGAGGTCCTGAACGCTCTGGAGCAGGTTTTCATCAATGATCTCTCTGTACTTTGCTCCGTTCATCTTTGCCTCAATCCTGACTAGTCTCCCAGTCCCTGCCGTTGAAAAACATCCATACAGCATGATGCTGCCACCACAATGCTTCACCATAGGGATGGTGCCAGGTTTCCTCCAGACGTGTCCCTTGGCATTCAGGCCAAAGAGTTTCATCTTGGTTTCATCAGACCAGAGAATCTCGTTTCTCATGTTCTGAGAGTCTTTAGGTGCCTTTTGACAAACTCCAAGCAGGCTGTCATGTGCCTTTTACTGAGGAGTGGCTTCCGTCTGGCCACTCTATCATAAAGGCCTGATTGGTGGAGTGCTGCAGAGATGGTTGTGCTTCTGGAAGGTTCTCTCATCTCCACAGAGGAACTCTAGACCTCTGTCAGAGTGACCATCAGGTTCTTGGTCACCTCCCTGACCAAGGCCCTTCTCCCCTGATTGCTCAGTTTGGCCAGGCGGCCAGCTCTAGGAAGAGTCTTGGTGGTTCCAAAGTTCTTCCATTTAAGAATGATGGAGGCCACTGTGTTCTTGGGGACCTTCAATGCTGCAGACATTTTTTGGCACCCTTCCCCTGATCTGTGCCTCGACACATTTCTGTCTCGGAGCTCTACGGACAATTCCTTCGACATCATGGCTTGGTTTTTGCTCTGACATGCACTGTCAACTGTGGGACCTTATATAGACAGGTGTGTGCCTTTCCAAATCATGTCCAATCAATCACATTTACCACAGGTGGACTCCAATCAAGTTGTAGAAACATCTCAAGGATGATCAATGGAAACAGGATGCACCTGATCTCAATTTCGAGTCTCATAGCAAAGGGTCTAAATTTGCTAAAATTTCTAAAAACCTGTTTTCGCTTTATCATTATGGAATATTGTATGTAGATTGCTGAGGATTTTTATTTATTTAATCCATTTTAGAATACGGCTGTAACGTAACAAAATGTGGAAAAAGTCTAGGGGTTTGAATACTTTCCGAAGGCACTGTGTAGAACACAGAAATATATAACACAGATTCTGTACATGGAGGAACACATACAGATGTAGGATCTTAATTTGATCACTCTTTTGTTGCTGAGAATTTTAATGCACAGCAGGAAATGCAAACTTGTAGTGTATTTGAGTTTTAAAAAGGCTTCTTAAGTTTGTAATTTCTACTTTGAAATTCCAGACTTGATTTGCCCTAATGAAATGTTTCAACCCCTACAAAAATGTCCATTAATTATAATCTACATAATAACTCACATTTCCTGTTGCTGCAGGATTATTTTCTTGCTGTAGCAAACTGGCTCAAATTAAGATCCTACATCTGTACAAAGGTAATGCCAGCTGTCCTACAGACATCGTCAGTGCATGCATTTTGAAACATTACAATTTCCTTCACTCCCCCAGGGAGTTCATATAGCTTGGTGTTCCGTGGACAAATTTAAAGGTGGCAAAAAAATATTATTTTCAAGTGTTGAATCACTGTTTGCCGGAGGAATGAAGACAGCCAGGTACTAAAATCAACTCAGACTATCTCTAATTTGTCTTCCTCTTTAATCTTTATATGTTACATTACTGGTATAACAACTTCATTCTGTTCATTTACCACTGCCACAGTATTCACTATTAATTTTGCCCCTTTGAAGGATAATACATTGACATTGTTTGGGATTTTAGCACGGCATGGGTAGTGCCTTGTAATCTGGCTATCATTCTGTAGATACAGCATAGACTCCCGATGTGGCACATAGACAGACGTGATACACATCAGCACTTGGATGTTCTTACAGAAGAACAGCATGCAATACCATCTGGGGTCTTCTTCAATAGCCAAGTGCTTTATCAAGTCTATCATTTATTTGCAGAGTTTAGTAATCTTCTCTGCATAAGCTGCCTTATCGTGTTGTTTATTCTTGAACTTTTGCGTGTTTAAATGAGGCATCCAATGCTCTATTGATTATATTCCATTCTACTCGACTAACAGAGACAGACATGTAATAATATAATAATAATATGCCATTTAGCAGACGCTTTTATCCAAAGCGACTTACAGTCATGCGTGCATACATATTTTTTTTGTGTATGGGTGGTCCCGGGGATCGAACCCACTACCTTGGCGTTACAAGCGCCGTGCTCTACCAGCTGAGCTACAGAGGACCACATGTGAGGGTCACCCCACTGAGGGTTGCCCTCGCTGCTGTTTTTAGTGAGACTGCATGATTTCTGTAGAAGTCCAGCTGTTCCTTGACTCAGTGGATCAGAACCGGATCCATGTCCCATGGTCACTCATTGCACATCCTCTTTGGCACCAGTAGAGAGCCCAGAGCATCCAGCCCATCTGGCAGAAACAGTGGATTTAAACCAGAGCAATTAGAGAATCACCCCTATTGCCGTCTGCTCTAAAGCTATCCTCTGTAAGATGTGCACATGCAAATAGCACTTAATTTCTTGTAATACGTCATTTGAAGAAATAAAATAGCATACTAGTATTGCCCTGGGGGGGAAAAACAAACAATGGAAAAAAACTCAATGTGTTTACAGAAACGTGACTAACTCAGAACTGTTTCGGTTTCTTTTGCAGATTTGGTTTATAATAATCCTAATAAATAACCGGAACATCCAAGAGTTTTCCAAGGACACGAAGAACTAAACCTTCGGTCTATAATTGACATCCCAGGAAGTGAAACGTTTGTTGGGCTCCATAGCACTGCCTTGGAACACAGGTGATGGCTGAGCACAGCAGCAGCCCTGATTGGAGGGTCCAGGCTGGCTCCACCCTCCCTCAGTGACAGGATGACTCTGCCAGAGAGCACTACCATTCTCATTCATCTGAGCTTCCCCATGGAATGGAATCAGTCTGACTCCAGACCAGAGACACCTGGCAAGGAGAAGAACTGGCCTGCCCTGCTCATCTTAGTGGTCATCTTCTTCACTGTGGCGGGCAACATCCTGCTCATCCTAGCTGTGTCTCTGGAGAGGAAGCTGCAGAATGCCACCAGCTTCTTCCTGCGCTCCCTGGCTGTGGCAGACATGCTCGTGGGCTTTCTCGTCATGCCGGTCTCACTGATTAACATTCTCTATGGTAGGTGGTAGGTTGAGCTCTTTTAGAATTGCAAAGCAGTGTTTGTTTGCCCTCTGGATAATGATCTCTTGAAAGCAGCTAGGGATAAGAGGCTTTACTATGAGGCAGGGGCGTCAATTGGGTATGGCAGGGTATGCCCTAGCTCAACACCATCCATTTTAAAATAGGCTACTGAAATCATTCCAATCCTGATTAAAAGGCAAATGCAGTTTAGCGGTAATCGGGCTGACTTTAGGACCATGCGGACGCCTGGGAGCGGGAGGCAAGTGTTTGTATGGCTGGCTGGCTTTATGGAGCACGCCACGCATCAACGCAACTTTTTCTCAAAACAGTGCAGAGGTAAAGATGGCTGTAGTAGATAGCTTTGGCTAGATAACTGCTGTTTGACTTGACAGGAAACTAAACTAGAGTTTTATTCCCGGGCTGAGCTAGTGTGTAGCAGCACATTCATGTGTTTGTGGAATGTTAAATATTGACTGAGGTGAATGAAGCTACAGCAACAAGGTGATAATGGCTGGAGTCCATTTTGCTTGTTTTGCTGTACTCCAAATTGCAATTTTTAAATTGTGTAGAAATGCAGTAAGTGAGCTTCAATTTTATAAAAAATTCCCATTCAGGGGACCGACCCTCCTTAGCTTCAGAGGCAAACCCGCAGTCCGATGCAGGGTGCAATAGAAAAAAGGCAGCAAAGGCTAGGATAACATAACCAAATAGTGAAAATTGCAGGAAAGAGGGAGGCGTTTTACGTTATCAAAAATTGCATCCATTTACAATGAATTTTCTCTTGCATTTAAACATTATTTCCTTGCAACATTTTGTTTTGCTATCAATACTTTGGGGTTTATGTTTTTTGCTTTCAATATGATTCTTTTTGTTTTCAATACTAAGAATTTTATTCTCGATTTCGAAGTTTTACTTGATATTAATGGCACAAAATTAACAATTAAGAACGAAAAGTGTTCCTCCCACCACAGTTTCTGTAAAAAGCTGAGGGATGAGGCTGGAGAAATGCAACCACTCTCAAATCCATAGACTACGCTATGGATGCAAGGACTGACCATCTATGTTCTCCCAATTATAGCATTAACCATGTTTTTAGGCTATACCGTGTTTGTTTACATTGACTTTCTTGACAAATATTGGAGTAAATGTGGAGTTTTCTTACATGTGAAACTGCAAATTAGATTGGATGTGGAATTGCAAGTTGTGAAAAACAATGAAAATAGAAAATTTCACAATGTGGAGATGTGGAATTGCAAATTAAATATTTACATGCGATTGTAGTTTTTTTTACTTGTGAAAAAGCAAATGTGATTTTCACATGTGACTGTTTTTCACATGTGAAAATGCAATTCCGCATGTGAAAGTGAGATTTTCACATGTGAATGTTTTTTACATGTGAAAGTTTTTAACATAGTAACCGCAAATGTCATATATGAAACTGCAATAAATTTAAGCTCAACATGTGAAAACAGTTATTTCACATGTGAAAATGCGATTTCAAGTATTAAAATGCGATTTTTACATGTGAAAATGCAAATTTGACATGTGTTTTTTTGTAAGGGAACCCCTGACACACCAATGTGAGATTATCCCCTTCCCAGTTCCCATACAATTTCCTTATTTCAGTTAGCCCTATTACTCTGAGCAGCTTTAAATAATGTGTTTATTTTAGATCAAATGGGTTTGTGCAACTGGGTAACAGCAAGAGAAACTCTTCCCTCTTACTTTCATGCCATGAAGGCCTAAAGGCTTTGATCAGGTATTTTTCTAGTAACATCATAGCAGTCTATTTGATGATATACTGTATGAGACTGAAAAATTACTTTGGATTTGTTTGCATGGTCACAAAGTAGGTGTTCTGATTTGATAATGAAATATCAGTAATTCTTGGTGAACTGTGCCCGTCCATTCTTCAGACTACGTGTGGCCCTTCCCCAGACCCCTTTGTCCCATCTGGATCTACCTAGATGTGCTGTTCTCCACAGCATCCATCATGCACCTGTGTGCCATTTCACTGGACCGCTATGTGGGCATCTGTAACCCCATCCAACACAGCCGCTCCAACTCCCTCTCCAAGGCCAAGGCTAAGATCGCCCTCGTCTGGACCATCTCTATAGGTGAGTTCCTGCTAACATAGTTACTGTAAATATAAAAAAAATAAAAAAACTGATCTGTGTGTGCGTATGTCTAGAGAGATAGTGAGTTACTTTGAAACATTATTTCTGTTTTGGCCTTTGAAGAAAGAACATTAGTGCTTTTTTCTACTGTCTGTCAAGAAGGAATACTTTTCTCTCCCATCTCCTGGGGCTCTTAATGAGAGCCTTATGGCATCTTCACCCTGAGAGATGCTCTATACGGGGACGACAGGACAGGCTATTATGGTCTTATGGCTCAAGGCTTTTTGGTTCTGCAGAAATCTGATAGCCAGTCAACCTGTTAGCTTGTCGACTTTATCTAAAAACCTCACATTCCGCCTTTTCTTCCTTGAAGCCTTTGTGGTCAATTAATCCCCCTCCTTAATCTATAAATGATGTAAAGATAATTGCTGTGGTTCTGGTCAAGGACTGATTCGAGTTATGTGCCACTAGGATCTGAATCAGGCTCTGTCCGCCGGCCGCGACCGGAGACTCAGGGCGGCGCACATGCGGGTAGGGGAGGAATGCCGGCAGGGAGTTAGCTCAATGATGAGATGGGTTTGCAAGCCAGGGTGTGGGTTTGATTCCAGGGGGGCAGTGAAAAAAAAAAGATATGTATTCACAATGTAGTCGCTCTGGATAAGAGGTCTGCTAATGACTAAATGTAATGAAATGTTAAATTGTATTCTGTCCGTCCCGTCCGTCTCTCTCTCTGACAGTGATCTCCATGCCCATCCCTGTGATTGGCCTGTATGATGAGGGGAAGGTGTTTGTCAATGGGACCTGTGTACTGAACGAGCACAGCTTCGTCATGGTCGCCGGGCCCCCCTCCCCTTTCGTAGCCTCTTCGTCCCTCTGCGTATCATGGTGATCAGCTTACGGTTGACTGTGCGGGTGCTGCAGTGCCAAGCCTCTGATTACCTGCATGGAGGCGAGGTTTCGATCAACCGGCCTGCCTTACTCAGGATCACCATAAGGCCCCCCGCAGGGGACAGCCTTAGCCTCCTCAAACAGGACCCTAGTCATGAGGCCTTGCCAGCTATTGCTGCCTCCAATATTTCCGTCTCTCAAGCCTCCTTGCAACCCATCTCTCCAGCAGGGAGGCAGGAGCCAGGGGGACCTGGCGGGAGACCTGGCATGGCTCAATCAATCAAAAATGAGAGGAGAGCTTCCATGGTCCTGGGTGTGGTGTTTTTCCTCTTCCTGATTATGTGGTGTCCATTCTTCATCACCAACGTGCTGAGTGTGTTGTGTGAGGACTCGATAATAAGCCTGTGCAATAAGCCTGTGTTGGCAGTGCTCCTAAAGGTCTTTGTTTGGGTGGGATATGTCTCCTCTGGTGTCAACCCATTGGTCTACACTCTATTTAACAGGACCTACAGACAGGCCTTCCACCGCTACCTACAATGTATCTACCACAGCCCACCAGCCAAGAGCACCCCAGCCAACCCTGTCTTTCCTGTTTATACCGTCACCCCTAGACTCTGCAGGAAAGATGCCAACGACTGTAACTGTAACAGCCACAATGGGAATATTAAAGGCAGAATGAGGTTGGAGAGAGAGGAAAACAGATCTGGGATGCTAGAGAAGTTGGCCAGTGTCTCTCCCACGCCCACTGAGCATGTCAGCTGTGTCTGAACTAGCTAGTTGGCCTCCTGTCTTTCCCCTCCTGGCTCTGTCTCTACATACAAAACATTGTGGTGACAAAGCCGTTGCTTCATGTAACTGCTTGGATTTTCCACCTCCACTCCCTATTCAAACACAGGAGATGTACTCAATGTCTCCCTGCCTGAACCTGTAAATATGAGATATGAAATAGTGTACAATGCTGTACAATATGACTAAAGACATTGATACTGTATGTGTCAAACTTTGACATTTGCATTACATTTAGTGAGTAATAAGTGCATACTCAGTGTGGTAATTGTAATGAAATGTGCATTAACTGCACTACTGTTTGCATCTCTCAGAACAGGGCTGTGAGAGGTCACAGATGGCTTTACAGGAAAACTACCTGATGTATCTCTCTAATCATAGAGCCACAGTGCCACCATGTGGGAATATACAGGACAACACATAAACATTTAATTTCTTACTAGAAGGTGTTCTTTTTCTGCCTGTCTGAGAGATTCAAGTGACAGATATTAATATAGCACTTGAAGGGGAAACAGACAAGGAGATGTTTCACTCCTCATTCCCAGAGGACTGTTACTATTTTGGTTAATATTTCTGACAGATTAATATTTTTTCGCAGTTCTAACATGTAATATAAATAATGAAGTTACAACATTTTCTTAGATTACCCATTTGATTTTCTTATTTTGTGGTGATGTTCATATCATGATGCACCAACAGATGATTGTCCGGTACTGACACAGTGTAAATGATCATGCACATACTATTATTGTAGTGGATTTTAGATGTACAATATTTTAATAAATATTGTCTTCCAAGTTCCATCATTAGTCTTGGGTATATGGTTGGTTTGCCCTTTACTATAAACTATATTATGCATGCAGCAACAAAGACCTAAAACATTTCAAAGGTCACCTTATTAGCATTAGATATCAAGAATAAACCATGTTGAAACACCGCTGACCTTTCATCAGAATACTTTTGTTTAAAGATTGAATGGTAAAAATGTGCATTCAGCCTCTTAGATACAGTATATTACAATACCAGGTATGATCCTATTGCCCATATAAAGAACTGTATATGTATTACTGTAAGAGCTATTGTTGATATACATCAATATTTATGACTTGTTACCCTTTGAATTGTCATTAGTGGGTGAGATGTAGAGTGAATGCAAGAGAAAGTCTTTGAATGTTCATCCAAGCTTCTGGTTAATTCTGCACCAAGTTATGAATGGAGAGGCTTCTTTCCACTTTAATAAGCTTGAATCGTGTGACACACACACACACACACACACACACACACACACACACACTTCTCACCCCCGACAATAAGATCCCCTTGTATTCCCACAGATTCCACAGCATAGCACACTAGTACTGCCCCCGACCCTAATGCATGGAACATGCGATTATCACATAGCCTGGCCTATGCATATTGGATGAAGCCATATTGTCACAGCTACAGTATGTCATTATATTATGCGTCTGCTGTTTGTTGTTTGACAGAGAACGCATGTATGTCATTTTTTGTGTCTTAAATTGGTTTTTCGGTTCTGTGGGGTCTGGGCATCTTTGAAACACAGGGTGGTGGTCTGTGTGAGCCCATATACGCATGCGCCGTGGTTTCGCTGCTGCAGAGCGTTCGCGTTCGCGGAGGAAAGCCGACGCTGCCAAGGAAACACACATGCAGACATAAGGGAATCCAGATTTCAGCGTCGTCGTCCATTCCCTTGACTTTGATAATGCATCGGTAATGATGGTAGCGCGCAGCAACGCCTTCGATCTAGATCTATTCCATGCGTGATGTCTAAATAGCTGGCAAATAATACAGCCAACGTGAGGAAGTAAAAATAAATAAAAAGTCAAGGGAAAGATAAACAACCAGTGGTAAGTAGATTTAGGTACCATTTTACCGTTCTTAGATCGCTAGGATACACTACATGATTCTATATTGCACAATAAGTATTTCCAATTATATAATGTGTTTGTGTGGAAAAAATAGGCTACTAAACAAGACTACAGGGTATGCAGGTGACTGGTACTATTTATTAAAATTTTACAATATAAGAAATGCTTACATGGGAAAGAAAAATATATGTTTCTGTGACAGATATTGTGCCTCGGAATTAGTGACATAGATTGACGCTCTCACAACTCGAAATGCAATCAAGACACCCTTATCCTGGTCAATTCTAATCAATCAATATATTGGTTTTCCTCTTTACGGTCACGATTATCCTATCTTCAGATGTACTTGAACACTGGTTAACTGCTGTAGCTCTATACCTATAGTATACGAACACCTGTTCTGTTCCCTTTGCGTTACAAATCACATGCTTGTGCAGAAGCAGCAATGGTAGGATATATGACGTAATCATCAGTCCAACTGCATGAACTCACTGATGTCATTCTTTTTTTCTAGTCAGTCAGATGTCTAATGAAGGATGACTACTAATTAAGTAATATGGATATTTTTGGAAAAGTAATCTGTACCCTGCATGAGGCTGCAGGTGTAGAGTCACATATCTGCTCATCTATTACTATGAAGTTAGAAAGAAATTAGGCCTACCAAACTAGGCTACTGTGAAACAACGTGAAAACGACAGTAATTAATTGCTACAGAACATAATTCAGCCCCAAAAATGTCAACCTGCTTATTATTGTGTAAATAAAGCCTTCTGTATATCCTACGAGATGAGAATTCCAGGTGTTCTCCTAAGATTATCGGTGTCCTTTGTGGCTCAGTTGGTAGAACATGGAGCTTGTAACGCCAGGTTAATGGGTTCAAATCCCGGGACCACCCATACGTAAAATGTATGCATGCATGACTGTAATTTGCTTTGGATAAAAGCGTCTGGTAAATGGCATATATTATTATCAACAGACAACAGCATTAAAAGCAGTATCATTAGTCTGACATGTCACCCCAATATTTGGGCATATTTCAACCATTTCTTATGAAAAGAGGCACATTTCTGCGACCAAGGGCCCAAACAGCTTGTAGGAAAGAAATAGGAGGGGGGCCTCAGAGCTGATATGGAACACATTTTGGTTGGCCTTGGTAGTGTATGACCTTGTATAATTGACAGACAATTCTTGGTTGACTTGTTTTATTTGTTAACCCAAATGGTAGCTTGGCGATCTTTATTGATTTGGGGATTACAAAGGGTAGGCCATAAAATGTGGTCTTAATTGCGGTGACAGTTTGCACCTGTAACTTTTTAAGCATCGGAGGACGCTTATGGTGTCATGACTTCGATAGACTCCATACAGTTCTTTAAGGATTCGCCTCTTTTCAGGAGCAGGAGGAACCTGTAAAGTTGGGTGCTGTGCTTGTATATTTTACTCATAACTGTGCTGATCTTTACATATTCTCATTGCTCTTACCTAGTTTTAATAGATTCACCCACGGGCTAGGGTTGAACTGCTAGGGCTGCGATGGGAGGAATGCAGTAGATCATTGAGTTTCTACTATCTTGTTCTGAACATAGATTATGTAAAAGGGAGCCTGGAGCCAGTGTCATGCTAGCAGCACTGTGGAAGTGTTGCTATGGTTTCCACTCATTAATCAGTTTTCTTCCCATGACTGTGCGGAGGCTGTGGCGGCGTGCTATACTGGCTCCAGCAGAGGAGACAAGAATGAGAGAAAAGACACCCAACTTTATGTTTCGGAATCAATGGTAGCATTTAGCCAGATTCTGAGAGCCTCTCTTCGTTTGAATAGTGAGAAACTCCAACAAGAAAGGGGCATTGTGAGCAATGGAAAGGATGGCAAAAAATGTGGAAGAGTGTAGCAGTTAGCAGATGCCAGCAACAGACTGGAGGCCAATAGATTTTTGAGGGGACAGCAGTGTTTGGGTGTGAAAGTGATCATTTGTGAAGAATTAACACACAAAGGAGAACAGAAAGTTCACTCATTCATATTTGAACAATAAGCTATGTCAGGAAATAAATAAGCATTTGGAAGGTGGGGTCTCAGTGGTCTCAGCAATAGGAGCGAGTCCTGTATAAATGATTCAAGGGATAGTTCACCCAGATAGTAAATGTATGTCATTTTATGGATACAGAAGCGCTGACTATGGCTGCGGAGATTCAGTAACCTATAGCGTTGGATTTGTTTACTCAGCTACTTAGCATTATCATTGTTGACTGCAAAACAATGTAAGTGGCAGGATCTCTGTTAGCATGCTCTTAATGGCAGCTTTAAATGATTGTAAAATGACTTCCAATCCAAGTTAAGTAGCAATGTGATCCACTTACACGTGTATGTGAGTATTAGTTTCTCCATGAAACAGAAAATAAACGTTTTATCATCCTGTCTTAACCCTTCTGAAGCTGGAAGCTTTCACCACTTGAGAATTCATTCTAAAATCAACTGCACTTTCAACTATTCAACTTCTATGCTTTTGAACTCAATGAATGAACTCAAGGTTTGCACAGTGTAGCATAGAGCAGAGTGAGGTTATAACCTAGGAGCTGCAGAGCAGACATGTTAAAAGGCCAGCTCCCATCCTCCAGAGAGTATCATGAACCCGTCTCTCTGTGATAGTCTCCGTGCATGAGGTCACACGCACTGCCCCTGCGCTTCCCTGCTAGAGGTTCCCCTTGAGGTTGTTTACTCATGTTAAGCTATTTCACCGTGCCAATTTATTGCAATTTTGACAGCTGCAAAAAGGACTCTGTAGCCTTGGGGAACATCTTGTCCTATTTATTTTAAATAGGATAAATATAATTAAAGCCTGATATTCCAAGATGATATGCTGATGTAGGAAAAATAATAATGTTCTTTGTCATTCTGGTCCTGTTTATTTTTTTAAATATTATTATTATTATTTATTTTTTCTGGTTCTATGTTTCTATTTACAGTGTACTATGTGTATGATTGCTTTGTTCTATGTGTATGATTGCTTTGTTCCATTTCCTTCAAATGTACTTGTTCTCATCACGTTGCAATGGGCAGCAGAGCATAAGGAAAGGCCCTTGGAGGTTGCCATGGTGATGGTCCTAGACTGTAGCCCTGATATAGTAGAGCCCCTTGCTGTTTGCTTGTACACTACTCACACCACATGATCACAGAATATACACAATTCTGAAGCCCACAGTCTTTTTTTCATTGACATGAACAGAATAGCCTTAATTATATAGGGTACATAGAGTACTGTAGTACTATCTCACAAGCAAACTTTGTAAGCTTACTGTAGGTAAGCCTTTTTTTAGACTTGGTATGCCCAAATGCCAAATGAAGATGAAAGCCCATTCTCATTGGATCCAAGCTCTTTGTCATTGGATATGCTTCTTGGGTTATTTTTGTACTGCATATTTTTGCGATCTTTTTTTTTTTTAGACCAGTGCTTGAAAGACACAAGACATCTAAAGGCCAATAAATTAATTATAAATACAGTGATTGAACTGAGAGAGATAGGAGGGAGAACATTGTGAAAGAGGGAAGAGAGCCAGAGGAAGAGAGGTCCCCTCCATTGTCTCCACTATAGGGACATGCTGAGCAGTAGGCAGTGAGTTGTATAAAAGAATGCCAGGCGGTTGTGTAAAGGCATGCCAGCCTGTATTAGGGCTGTGTGGGGAGAGATTCAGGCTAGATGGCCACTACCCATTAGCCTGATGGGCTGAGCACAGAGTTTGTATCCCCACACACACACACACACTCACTCACTGTTACACACACACTCACTGTTACACACATACTTACTGTCAAACTCACTGACTGTCAATCACACACTATCCATTGTGCAATAGGCCATGATATGTTACAGGAGGGGGTCGCAGTTCCGGAGCGACCCACTCGGTGTCATCCTCCGACAACATTAGGCACCTCCTCACTCACAGTCTGTGCCACCCGACCTTTGAATCTTAATTTCCAGGTTTCCTTTGATTGTCCTTGCCTTTCTTTAAAACGTAGTAACTACTATTATAATCGTACTAATTAAGTGATGACCTTTTATCAATGCTTTCTCTCAACCTCTTTTCTTTGACAATACTAGGTCTTTGTCCTGTACACATTTTATTATTAGTCCATATGATTGCACCATTGTAGATGTTGTGATTTCCCTCTGTTGGTTAATTACATGGTGTCTAATGCGTTCTCATTCCAGTGGCGGCTCCTGAAAAATTCTCAGGGGGGCAATTTTTTGATGATTTAGGTGACTCTACACAATTTTAAAAAGTATGTCCAGCAACAACATGAAGACAGGGCAGCATATAGTCAATACCAGAAGAGGTCTATTGACTTTATGTCTCAAAAGTGTTGGCTTACCAGGTGTGGTGGAGCCTCAGTTTCATCTTTGCCTCGCAAAGCTAACTCAAACACTCCGCAAAACTTCACACACTGGATTAGCCGGCTGAGGATGTGGCGGTTCTTGCTAATGTCGTAGTAAATATATTTGTTATAGTGAATATGGAATATGATATGTTGAGTAAAATGTTGTGCTAAGATCTATTTAGGTCAGGAGCTGGTTATAAGTTCTGTTCCTATCCAATAACAATGGACAAAAGGGTCCTATCTTGTCAGCCTTGTCAGTTTCAGTTCTCCAGTAAACTTGTGATTATCAACACTAACCTCATCGTTGTGGCGGCGGACAGCTAGCCTGTATCCCTCATCCAGTTGAGTGGGAATGTTCACTCTCCCCAAAGCAGACAATCTCAAACAGCTATCCATGTGGGTCTTTGACAGCTCATGTTTCTTAATCTTTCCTGAAAGATGGTGCATGTCCGTTACACACCAGTCGCTGTCCAAGCGGTGCTGTCTGCCGTGCCGCCTTCAGGGTGAAAGAGTAAGCAGGGGGTAGCAGAAGACTGCATTAGCTACATCGCAGCCTGCTAGCCAGGTTTTTCGTTCGTACCAATTTTTGGAAAATCCTCGGGTGTAGGACTTCCCCCCTTTAGTAGAAACCTGTTGAATTATTAAATTTGGTCTGGGAGGTCCTAATTGTTTCGTTGCCAATTTATCTTCATTTGTTCGCCGACAAAAAGGAACTTCTTTCAAAGACACAATCGAGTTGCACTGAAGCCTAGCCATTTTGATAGTAGTAGTGAATTGATTGACGCTGCTACCCGCTCTTTTCTTAGTTACGTTCATGGTTATGTTACGTATGACGAAAGCGCGTAAGTGCAAGCCCTCAGAAACCCATAGAGATTGTATTGAAAGCTCTGATATTTGAAAAAAATTGATTTTACATGGGAGTCTATGACAGACTTCTGGGCGATTTTCAACCTGACTGAAATCGCCCCAAAAGGGGGGGGGGCCATTTGAAGCACGACTTTAGCCTGATTGGACATTTAGTGGCACTGTGGCAGATCAGACGTCTAGATTACAACACTGATAACTACTGTTGCCGTGATATAATTGATTAGAAAAAAAATCCCTTCCTTTTCCCGTTTGGCAGTGCGTCGCCCATATCGCCCTATTGAACACACCGCCCCTGCTCCATTCCCTCTCCCCGGCCTATTGACTCTTTCTTAATTCAGTGCCTCTAATTTGAGGTGTCACACAGCATGGCGTTCAATATAGATTGCTCAACTGAAGACTGAGTTATATTGTTCTATAGCCGTAATTAATGTGATAATTGGAGTGGTTTTTAACCCTTCCTCCGTGGCTCTCTGTAGGTGAGTGTGTGTAGGGCGCAGCCGCCATGCCGCTGGTGAAGAGATGCATCGAGCCCAGGCACCTGTGCCGTGGAGCCGTGCCGGACGGGGTCACCAGCGAGCTGGAGTGTGTCACTAACAGCACCCTGGCAGCCATCATCAAACAGCTGGGGGGCCTGAGTAAGTCTACACACCTGGCTGACTGACTAACAGTCTGACTGCTGTCTGACTGACCGACTGTCTGACTGCTGGCTGACTGACAGTGACTGACTGAATGCTGAATGGAATTTAAATCTTAACCAAACTATTTCAGACAGTACTTTTTAACATGTACTGTATGGGTTCTTTTAAAGGTACATTCTCATAGCCCTACTCTGACCCTGGCCTCTGTTAATGCATGGTGTGTGTTTTTGTGAATGCAGGTCGACATGCAGAGGACATCTTTGGGGAGCTGTTCAACGAGGCCAACAGCTTCTACATGAGAATGAACAGCCTCCAGGAGAGAGTGGACCTGCTGGCTGTCAAAGTCACCCAGCTGGACTCCACTGTGGAGGAGGGTAGGTGGAGGCAGCAGGTGACAGGGGTTATGAGGGAGGGGTGGTAAGGGTGTGGCAGAATCTACTGAGGAAGGGGACTGGTCAAATCATACAGTACATGCTATAGCATGATCATACCCAGGCAAAGTTACAGCACAGCATACGGTATGAGAGCGTGAATAAGCATCAAATGAAGAGCACCATGCTAATTAGCGAAGTAAAACACACCGTTGCATAATGCATAATGCAAAGGCTTCACCAGGGCTTAGTGCCCCACAGCTGAGCCACAGACTCCCTGCTGCTGCAATCACTAATACATTGATTTTCATTATACAGCCTGGGATAAACCGGATACTGTATACAGTGCATTCGGAAAGTGTTCAGACCCCTTGACTTTTTCCACATTTTGTTACGTTACAGCCTTATTCTAAAATGGATTAAATTGTTTTCCCCCTCATCAATCTATACACAATACCCCATAATGACTAAGCAAAAACAGGTTTGTTAGAATTATTTTCATATATATTAATAATAAAACACTGAAATATCACATTTACATAAGTATTCAGACCCTTTACTCAGTACTTTGTTGAAGCACCTTTGGCAGCGATTACAGCCTCGAGTCTTCTTGGGTATGACGCTACAAGCTTGGCACACCTGTATTTGGGGAGTTTCTCCCATTCTTCTCTGCAGATCCTCTCAAGCTTTGTCAGGTTGGATGGGGAGCGTTGCTGCACATCTATTTTCAGGTCTCTCCAGAGATGTTCGATCAGGTTCAAATCTGGGCTCTGGCTGGGCCACTCAAGGACATTCAGAGACTTGTCCCGAAGCCACTCCTGTGTTGTCTTGGCTGTGTGCTTAGGGTCGTTGTCCTGTTGGAAGGTGAACTTTCGCCCCAGTCTGAGGTCCTGAGCGCTCTGTAGCAGGTTTTCATCAAGGATCTCTCTGTACTTTGCTCCGTTCATCTTTCCCTCGATCCTGACTAGTCTCCCAGTCCCTGCCGCTGAAAAACATTCCCACAGCATGATGCTGCCATCACCATGCTTCACCGTAGGGATGGTGCCAGGTTTCCTCCAGACGTGAAGCTTGGCATCCAGGCCAAAAAGTTCAATCTTGGTTTCATTAGACCAGATAATCTTCAAATCAAATCAAATCAAATTGTATTGGCCACATGCGCCGAATACAACAGGTGCAGACATTACAGTGAAATGCTTACTTACAGCCCTTAACCAACAGTGCATTTATTTTTCATAAAAAAGTAAAATAAAACAACAACAAAAAAGTGTTGAGAAAAAAAGAGCCGAAGTAAAATAAAAGAACAGTAGGGAGGCTATATATACAGGGATCTGGGAGTCCTTTAGGTGCCTTTTGGCAAACTCTAAGCGGGCTGTCATGTGCCTTTTACTGAGGAGTGGCTTCTGTCTGGCCACTCTACCATAAAGGCCTGATTGGTGGAGTGCTGCGGAGATGGTTGTCCTTCTGGAAGGATCTCCCATCTCCACAGAGGAACTCTGAAGCTCTACAGGAGTGTCCATAGGGTTATTGGTCACCTCCCTGACCAAGGCCCTTCTCCCCCGATTGCTCAGTTTGGCCGGGCGGCCAGCTCTAGAAAGAGTCTTGGTGGTTCCAAACTTCTTCCATTTAAGCATGATGGAGGCCACTGTGTTCTTGGGGACTTCAATGCTGCAGAGATTGTTTGGTACCCTTCCCCAGATATGCCTCGACACAATCCTTTCTCGGAGCTCTACGGACAATTCCTTCGACATCATGGCTTGGTTTTTGCTCTGACATGCACTTTCAACTGTGGGGCCTTATATAGACAGGTGTGTGCCTTTCCAAATCATGTCCAATCAATCAAATTTACCACAGGTGGACTCCAATCCAGTTATAAAACATCTCAAGGATGATCAATGGAAACAGGATGCACCTGAGCGCAATTTCGAGTCTCATAGCAAAGGGTCTGAATACTTATGTAAATACATTTCAGCAACATTTTCTAAAAACCTGTTTTCACTTTGTCATTATGGGGTATTGTGTGTAGATTGATGAGGACATTTTTTTTTATTTCATCCATTGTAGAATAAGGCTGTAACGTAACAAAATGTGGAAAAAGTCAAGGGGTCTGAATACTTTCCGAACACACTGTATGTATCCCATTTAGCATCTCTACTTACCTTAATCATGACTCATGACCCTCTGTTTGCGGTCCTATTAAATTGTGTTCTTATAAGAGGAAGCATTGATACACCACTAATGAATGTGGTTGGTTTTCATGTTATTGAACTTCTAAACTTCCTCATGCAAATTGGGATGCCATGGCCATTCATAGCTGATAATGAGTCAGTGTTCGAGGGTTCATTCAGTGTGTTCATTCTTGGCATTCTGGTCCCAGTTTCGCTGCAGGACATCAACATGAGGAAAGCCTTCAAGAGCTCCACCATCCAGGACCAGCAGGTGGTGTCCAGGAACTCCATCCTCAACCCTGTCATGGAGATGTACCATCGCTGTGACAAACCTCCACCCCTCAACATCCTCAGCCCCTACAGGTCAGCCCTCAACCAATCACATTACAACTTACTGAACCCCACTTTAATCTTTGCATTTATCCTTAGGTACAGGATACAGAATTAAGCATTGGGGATGTGCAATTTATGTGAATTGTAACATAGTTATATAATGTATAAAGTGTAGGTGTCAATTGCATTGCCAAAGCACAGTCTCAGGTCAGGATGTGTTGTCATACAGGGATGACAAAAAGGATGGCCTGAAGTTCTACACAGACCCATCCTACTTCTTTAATCTGTGGAAGGAGAAGATGATCCAAGCAACAGAAAACAAGCGGAAGGAGAAGAGGAAGCAGAAGGCAGGGTGACAAGGTGAGTGAGTTTGTTTGGATGTGTGTTTATGTGTATCTATGATGAATCACTACTCACACATGTTGCTACATTTTGCTCCAAGCTCTTTGCTGGCTCTTGGTATTTTGGGTATTTTATTAGGATCCCCATTAGCTGTTGCGAAAGCAACAGCTACTCTTCCTGGAGTTCACACAGGACATGAAACATGACATAATACAGAACATTAATAGACAAGAACAGCTCTCTCTTATCCTCTATATTCTCATGACTGTTGGCTGTTTATTCCCTCTCAGACCCTCTCTCCCTCCCTCCACCATTTAACATCAGGCCAGTCAGGATTAGCTCATTGCTCATTTTAGACTGTCTGTGCTCAAGCTTCCTAAGCCTGGGGAGGTGGAAGTGGACGTGTGTTTAGACGGAGATAGAGGATGGGAAGGAACGAGAGAAAAAGAGAGCGAGGGCTTAGGGGCGAGGGAGGGCGCAAGACAGGAGACAATGACATGGTTAGTAAATAGCCATATGTGTTTTAGCAAGATGAAAAACCTCTTACGAACACTACTAAGCTATATAGTTAAAATTGACTTAATTAGAGGAAGCATGCTTATTTATTTACTAAGAACCAAGACTTAGAACTTCCACCACTAGTGGAAGGAACCGTAGCAGAACTTAAATGCATTTTATACATAATAAATGTGCACTTACATGCCCTGTTTATGGTTTATGTTTGTCCCATAATGATGGTAGTTGATGATAGTTTTTTCCCATACGTAGGGTTTATACCGCATTCTGAGGGAATCCTCTGGTGCAGTCCATATCTCTGTATTTCAGCTGGAGTCACAGTCTCATACATTTGTCATTTCCAGGAGCAGAAACAGGTGGAGGACCCCAGCCGGGAGGTGAAGAAGGTGAGGAAGGCCCGGAACCGTCGTCAGGAGTGGAACATGATGGCCTACGACAAGGAGTTCCGCCCAGACACCCGCCTCACACCTTCACCCTACCATGGCATGTCCTCTGAGGGATCCCTCTCTCCAGACAGGTCAGTAGGGATGCACTGCATCAATCAATCAAGGAACAATTATTATATATCATATATGATTATATATACAGTATTATGTGAAATATGGGGAAATGCGAATCACGAAATGTAAATGTACAAAATCTGCTTTCTACTGCCATCGACCTAAATGTTCGAAAGCATGCATGTTCCTGAGAGGGAGACCGCGAGGTTTTGAGATTTAGGTATAGAGATGTATTGAGAGCGCAACATTGTATGTGTCTCAATGGTGCTGCCCGTCCGCTCACAGACGTCATAATGGGACAGATACAACGTTGTGACCTCTATACAGTGGGGGGAAAAAGTATTTAGTCAGCCACCAATTGTGCAAGTTCTCCCACTTAAAAAGATTAGAGAGGCCTGTAATTTTCATCATAGGTACACGTCAACTATGACAGACAAAATGAGAAAAACAAATCCAGAAAATCACATTGTAGGATTTTTAATGAATTTATTTGCAAATTATGGTGGAAAATAAGTATTTGGTCAATAACAAAAGTTTCTCAATACTTTGTTATATACCCTTTGTTGGCAATGACACAGGTCAAACGTTTTCTGTAAGTCTTCACAAGGTTTTCACACATTGTTGCTGGTATTCTGGCCCATTCCTCCATGCAGATCTCCTCTAGAGCAGTGATGTTTTGGGGCTGTCGCTGGGCAACACGGACTTTCAACTCCCTCCAAAGATTTTCTATGGGGTTGAGATCTGGAGACTGGCTAGGCCACTCCAGAACCTTGAAATGCTTCTTACGAAGCCACTCCTTCGTTGCCCGGGCAGTGTGTTTGGGATCATTGTCATGCTGAAAGACCCAGCCACGTTTCATCTTCAATGCCCTTGCTGATGGAAGGAGGTTTTCACTCAAAATCTCACGATACATGGCCCCATTCATTCTTTCCTTTACACGGATCAGTCGTCCTGGTCCCTTTGCAGAAAAACAGCCCCAAAGCATGATGTTTCCACCCCCATGCTTCACAGTAGGTATGGTGTTCTTTGGATGCAACTCAGCATTCTTTGTCCTCCAAACACGACGAGTTGAGTTTTTACCAAAAAGTTCTATTTTGGTTTCATCTGACCATATGACATTCTCCCAATCCTCTTCTGGATCATCCAAATGCACTCTAGCAAACTTCAGACGGGCCTGGACATGTACTGGCTTAAGCAGGGGGACACATCTGGCACTGCAGGATTTGAGTCCCTGGCGGCGTAGTGTGTTACTGATGGTAGGCTTTGTTACTTTGGTCCCACCGTTCTTGTGATCATTTTGATCCCACGGGGTGAGATCTTGCGTGGAGCCCCAGATCGAGGGAGATTATCAGTGGTCTTGTATGTCTTCCATTTCATAATAATTGCTCCCACAGTTGATTTCTTCAAACCAAGCTGCTTACCTATTGCAGATTCAGTCTTCCCAGCCTGGTGCAGGTCTACAATTTTGTTTCTGGTGTCCTTTGACAGCTCTTTGGTCTTGGCCATAGTGGAGTTTGGAGTGTGATTGTTTGAGGTTGTGGACAGGTGTCTTTTATACTGATAACAAGTTCAAACAGGTGCCATTAATACAGGTAACGAGTGGAGGACAGAGGAGCCTCTTAAAGAAGAAGTTACAGGTCTGTGAGAACCAGAAATCTTGCTTGTTTGTAGGTGACCAAATACTTATTTTCCACCATAATTTGCAAATAAATTCATTACAAATCCTACAATGTGATTTTCTGGATTTTTTTCTTCTCATTTTGTCTGTCATAGTTGACGTGTACCTATGATGAAAATTACAGGCCTCTCTCATCTTTTTAAGTGGGAGAACTTGCACAATTGGTGTCTGACTAAATACTTTTTTCCCCCACTGTACATCTCTATGCGACAACGGATCAGAGTGAGGATGTGAATAGAATCTCATTTCTTATGATTATCAGTAAAATAAACAAATGTATAAAATATTGATTACTATGTATAGCTTTGTAAGACTATAAATGACCAACCACCAAGCTTTGAAGTAGTTAGTACCGGGAGACTATCAGCAATTGCGCTAAGCTAATGTTATGCTAACTTCAATCATCTCCAAACTGCACGCCGAGACATAAAAATGGTATCCATGAGACTCCGGGTAAATAGAAAAACGACCGAAATCTCGCATTATCCCTTTAACATATAATATTCTACATTGTACTCCTTCACATCAAAAATATTATGTTTGAATATTAGGCTACTAGGTTTTTAGATGACAAATAGATTTTTTAGGATGTCCATTGACATGAGATTAGGTGCATATTGAACGGCTTTGATGATATCAACCTCTATCTGTGGATTAAATATTCCAGGTCTGGTATGTCTGATGAGCTGTCCTACCCTGCCAGCCCTAACCACCCACCCCAGGAGGGAGCTGTACTGGGTCCTGATGGGAAGGAGCACCTAACAGGCCCCAACCAGACCCAGTCTCTGGACCGGGCCTACCGACCCCCTGCTGCTGCTACCGCTGCAGGTCAAGGCCGCCAGCATTCCCTGGGCCGCATGCAGCCCCACCACGGACCCACACCCACAGACCCATCCCTGAACGGACCCCGGCCCGCAACTTCCAAAGAGGCCAGGTGTGTAGCTAGCTACCCTTCTCATCTCTCCTTCTGTGCCCATTTTTGCTATTTTATCTAAGCTGAATTAAAGTCTGAAAGCCTATTCTATCTACAGTAAATGTCACAGGCATTTATTTGATCCTAATGTTAACGATGTAGTGCTGGAATTGTGAGAATGACTATGTCTGACTTGGTTGGTTTCCTCTAATTGTTCCACAGCGGTCACCAGATGCCTGAGCACTTTATCCCTCCGGCCCCGCCCCCACCTCCTCCCCTCATCCCCTCAGCCCAGACGGCCTTTGACAGCAAAGCAGGGCCTCCCACCCTGGCCCCTGGCACCGTGGCCACCCTGTCCCGCCCCTACAGCCCCTCGCCCCCACCACCCCCACCCGCCGGCTACATCCCCTCTCCATCTCACCCTGTCACTGGGGGACCCCCTGTTGCCCCTCCTCCACCCCCACCTGGTGGCCCCCCAACATTTGCTCCCTCTCCAGCCCATGCCATACACCCCTCTGGGGGCACACTGCCAAGGAAGGGCAAGGTGCTAGGCATCCCGATAAGTGACGCACGCAGTGACCTGCTGTCAGCCATCCGCAGAGGTGAGACCCTCTGGTTCACTAGGTGGAAAGGCCAGGATTATACCACGTGATCTGTCTACATTACTGTACATGGAAAGCCACTATTCTAGTAACATATTTACTGTAGGGAAAATATATTTTGACAGTTTGTAGTAAGTATAATCTGTACAGTTGATGACCGTAGTGTTGTGTCCTCAGGCATCCAGCTGAGGAAGGTGCAGGAGCAGCGTGAGCAGGAAGCCAAGAAGGAGCCGGTGGGGAACGACGTGGCCACCATCCTATCCCGACGCATCGCAGTGGAGTACAGCGAATCAGACGAGGACTCAGAGCCTGAGGAGAACGAGTGGTCAGACTGAGGCGGAGGAGGAGAGGAGAGGGTGGGGCAGAGCAGAGGGCCTAGGCTTACTTTACTTACCTACACACTGCTGCTATTCTAATACCAGGAAACACACACACACACACACACACAGTCATCGCACACTACGTCTCGATAGACCTCTTGTTAGAGAATGTAGATGAGAAAGGAGATGCTTACACAGTATGACAGTATCCATTATCTAGTCAAATATGGGCTGAGAGGAAACCACATTGGATCTGGGGCTGGGGGGGATCTGTTGAAAGCAAGCACAGCAAGCTTATACGTGTATATATATATATATAATATGATATAGTATAATATATTACTTATGGTCCAGTATAAAAGTGTTTCTTTCATGAGTCATGATATTGTAGTTTGAATATTATTTGTGGTTTCAGTTGCATTTTGATTTTCAGTGCATATCCTCCACCTGTAAATGAGCCACACCAAAACCACAGATGTTGTTTTCTAGGTGAAGATGCTATGGCATTCTTTCAACTCATCTGATCTTTAACTTAATGCACTTAAATATTTGTTCATTGAAAAGTATTATTTAGAGTCATCTTCTATTCTGGTTGTGCTGTTTGTGATAACTGTGCATATGAAGATGATGTAACATCAAGTGTAAATCAGGTGGGTGGATACTTGTGGACATATGATACTGTAGCCGTAACCGTATCGTCAACACAACTTTTTGTAATCTGAGGGGCGTTCCTTTTATTTTGTCACTTTGTTCAATTGTTTACAGTGTTGTGGTTGAGTATTGGTACCCTAACTGGCAGTGTTTAACATCAGTTGTCGTTTTTGGATTACATAATTTGCTAAAGATTTGCTGGTTGACTAATGACTACTGTGTAAGACATACTCTAACATGCAATTATTTAGGGGTTTATTTTCTCTATTGTACTTTGTGTGTGTGTGTGCGCGCGAGCATGTGTGTCAGGGAAAGAGAATATCTCAATGCTTTGCTGTTTCTTTCTTTTCTGACTCACTAGTTTTATGTTGAAGGAGAGAGAGTAGCTGATTGTTGGTGGGCTTGTCATCCATTTTGACTAATGTTCTACTGGAAGTGATGAGAGAGGGGTCATAGCAATGTTTCAAACATACAGATCCTATGTTTTATTAAGTAATGTGTTTATATAACTACTGTGTTTTACAATTCATTGTTGTATAGATTTTTGTAACACTGCTTGTAAAATGAATTTGGGTATCTAGATATGAAATGACTATCACATTGATCAAACCTAGAAAAAAAAGTGCATGTATGAGTAGCTAATAAAATGAAATAAGTGTTATGATTGCTTACTTTTGTCTTGGATCCTCTTGTGACGGTTTATTGCAAATCACTTGTGTATTCCATTGATATAACTTCCCTATTGTACCGTATCACTAGAACGTGAATAACCAATTTATGCACTAGTTCTGAGAGATGTTATTTTTGCAGGTACAGCATGACCACCACCCACCACGTCAGGCCATCTGGCCATCTTGTCACACCCTGGTGTTGGGACTCATTATTGTTTATCCAGGGTGTGTGCAGTCTATGTGTTTGTGTTCTATGTTGGGTGTCTAGGTTGTTGTTTTTCTAGGTTTGTTCAATGACTCCCAATCGGAGGTAACGAGTGTCAGCTGTTCGGCTCGTTATCTCTGATTGGGAGCCATATTTATTTCTGTATGTTTTCCTGTGGGGTTGTGGGTTTTTGTTTCCGTTACGGTGAGTGCACCGTGGAACTTCATTGATCGTGGTTTATTGTTTTGTCGTGCTTTAACTTAATAAAGTCTACGATGTTCACTCAACACGCTGCGCGTTGGTCTCATCCTTCACACGATCGTGACAGAAAAACCCACCATACCAAGACCAAGCAGCGTGTCCAGGAGCCGAGGGTCTGGACCTGGGAAGAGCTTTTGGACGGTAAAGGGTCCTGGACGTGGGAGGAAATCCTTGACGGCATGGATCACCGTCCATGGAGCGAGACAGAGGAGAGGCGACGGCAAGAGGAGCAACGGCGTCAAAAGGGCCATCGTCGGATGAAGGAGAGGCAACCCCAAAAAGTTTTTGGGGGGGGGCACATGGCTTGGGCGACGGAGCAGCAGGAGGCTGCCACAAGGGAGAGTCAGAAGGCGGCCAGGTTAAGGGGGCTGACGGAGGCAGAGAGGGAAGGTGTTGAGGCACGGCGTGAGGTACTGGGGTGTGTAACCAGTTCGGTCCGGCCCGTTCCTGATCCTCGGTTGAGGCCAGTGGTGTGTGTTCCCGGTATGGACCGGCCTGTTCCTACTCCACGCACCTGGGATACGGTGCGCTTCGCCAGACCGGCCCGGCCTGTTCCGGCCACTCGCACCAGGGATACGGTGTGCGTCGCCAGCTCAGCCCTGCCTGTTCCTACTCCACGCACCAGGGATACGGTGCGCTTCGCCAGCCCAGCCCGGCCTGTTCCTACTCCACGCACCAGGGATACGGTGCGCTTCGCCAGCCCGGCCCGGCCTGTGCCGGCCACTCGCACCAGGGATACGGTGCGCGTCGCCAGCCCAGCCCGGCCTGTTCCTGCTCTCCGCACTAGGCGTGAGGTGAGTCCCCAGGGCCCAGCATGCCCTGTTCCGGCTCCCCGCACTAGGCGTTATGGGAGTCCCCAGGGTCCAGCATGCCCTGTTCCGACTCCCCGCACTAGCCCTGAGATGCGTGTCCTCAGCCCGGTACCTCCAGTTCCGGCACCACGCAACAGGCCTACGGTGCGCCTCAGACGGCCAGAGTCTGCCGTCTGTCCAACGGGGCCTGAACTGTCCGTCTGCCCAACGGGGTCTGAACTGCCCGTCTGCCCAACGCCGTCTGAACTGCCCGTCTGCCCAACGGCGCCTGAACTGCCTGTCGGCCCAACGCCGTCTGAACTGTCCGTCTGCCCAACGCCGTCTGAACTGCCCGTCTGCCCAACGGCGCCTGAACTGCCTGTCGGCCCAACGCCGTCTGAACTACCCGTCTGTACAGAGCCTACAAAGCCGCCCGTCTGCCATGAGCCTTCAGAGCCGTCCGCCAGATCGGAGCCGCTAGAGCTCTCCGCCAGACAGGATCAGCCAGAGCCTTCCGCCAGACAGGATCAGCCAGAGCCTTCCGCCAGACAGGATCAGCCAGAGCCTTCTGTCAGACAGGAGCAGCCAGAGCCTTCCGCCAGACAGGAGCAGCCAGAGCCTTCCGTCAGACCGGATCAGCCAGAGCCTTCCGCCAGACGGGATCAGCCAGAGCCTTCCGCCTGCCATGAGCAGCCAGATCCGTCAGCCAGCCATGAGCAGCAGGATCCGCCAGAGCCAGCCAGCCAGGATCCGCCATTCAGTCCGGAGCTGCCCCTCAGTCCGGTGCTGCCACTTAGTCAGGTACTGTTCCTTAGCCTGGTGCTGGTCCTTATCCCGGTGCTGGTCCTTAGCCCGGTGCTGCCCCTTAGCCCGGTGCTGCCCCTTAGCCCGGTGCTGCCCCTTATCCCGGTGCTGGTCCTTAGTCCGGTGCTGCCCCTTAGTCCGGTGCCGCCCCTTAACCCAGTGGGGTGTAGTTGGGGGGTGGTAATGTGTAGGAGGCTAAGTAAGTGGGTAATGACTATGGTGGGGTGGGGACCACGACCTGGGCCAGAGCCGCCACCTGGACAGACGCCCACCCAGACCCTCCCCTAGACGGTATGCTGGTGCGCCCGGAGTGCGCGCCTTTAGGGGGGGGTACTGTCACACCCTGGTGTTGGGACTCATTATTGTTTATCCAGGGTGTGTGCAGTCTATGTGTTTGTGTTCTATGTTGGGTGTCTAGGTTGTTGTTTTTCTAGGTTTGTTCAATGACTCCCAATCGGAGGTAACGAGTGTCAGCTGTTCGGCTCGTTATCTCTGATTGGGAGCCATATTTATTTCTGTATGTTTTCCTGTGGGGTTGTGGGTTTTTGTTTCCGTTACGGTGAGTGCACCGTGGAACTTCATTGATCGTGGTTTATTGTTTTGTCGTGCTTTAACTTAATAAAGTCTACGATGTTCACTCAACACGCTGCGCGTTGGTCTCATCCTTCACACGATCGTGACACATCTGTGACAACAGGAAGAGCATTGGGACAAATGAACTCATAAGATCCACAACATGGGAGGGAACAGCTCATTCTGAGCCCAGGAAGATCACAGTATTTCTTGTCCAGCTTTATAGCCACATCCTAAGGATGGTATTTTAATAAGTACAGGTAAATCCCCACTGGACGTGGTACTGTACAAATACAATTATAAGGACCTTGTGAGTATGAATATCTCATGTTCCGCACAGTTACACCAATTCATAGAGAGCTCTGTGTTGTATGTTTTGGAGGTATAATTCTTTCCAACATTTGTAGAAGGTTCCAGAACCTTCCAGTGAGACAGTGTTTTGGAAATTACTCTCCGTGTCTCTGAGTTCAGTGGAGTTTTTCACACCAGACAGATACAGATAGCTGTTGTTGGATCCTGTTTGTCTTCAAAGGCAGTGGCATCACACACGGCAGCGGTCACTGAGCCTCCATCTGTCCCAGGGTGCATCGAGCCAGGACCCCACTGAGTGACCCAAACAGACAAGTGGTAAACAAACATTTATTGACCCTTTCCACAGACACCTAGTTTGGATATCTCCTTGCTACAGATTTGGTTGATTGCCTTTGTTACAAAAACCTAAACTAAAACCCTGTCTTGGTGACAATATGGTGAAGTGTTTTGAACAGAAGTAATCAATGCAACACAACGAGTGCTCCAGGATCTTGAGAAAGCAAACAACTTTGACAGTAGTGTTGCAATCGTTTGGTGTCATTTATGAACACAATCATTCCTTGAATACATTTCTAAACCAGTTGAACAAGACACATTGAAGTAGTTTTTTTTTAAGACAACATGAATAATTGATTATTTAAAAAAAGATAGACAAACTACATACATTGTTTTCAATAAATATATAAAAATATAGCTTTATATTAATATGATAAGACCTTATGGACTTCTAAACCCTGTGAGAATACTATATAGCTAAATCAATCAGGCTGACTGTGGTGGATGAGTGACAGTGAATCATTTGAATCGTACACCAGCATTCCATACAGTATTACTACAAGCAAAGCTTTGCAGCACACACAAAATCGTCTTCAATTCAATAGTGATGACACTAGTTGCAGACACTAGTCCCTCCAATGTTGACTGAAATAATAGAATATCAAATTGAGGGTTCCAATTATTGTGGATTGCTTATAGCAGCTCTTTGGCTGAACTACTAGTGTATAGGCAGTAGATGAGCCTAAGGGCTCTCCACACACATCTCAAACAACAGACATTGCATTATCATTCAAGTACTGTACACCATACACTATTGAAATCATAGAGTTGCTCATACTGTACCATACAGTCATAAACTGGCAAATGGCTATTCGTTACGTATATTGATCACTTTCTATTGAGAACCAACATATAAATGTCATTCAGTTTATCACTATACACAAGTTATACATTATTGCCAGTGAGACATAGTAAGGCAAAACAATGAAGACATTCTGTAGAAAATTGGTGTTTGCCAACTATTGGAACGAGTGCCATAACAGCAGAACAAAACTGTATTATTGGCATAATTTAGATGCACTGCACCTATTATGTACAACCACCCTACAGACAAACCTCGGTTTGACAAATATTGATTCGTTGTGAAAACATGTGCAATGGCCAATGTTATAAGCAATAAAAAGATATGATGACATCTGTCCCCAATCAGATGTCGATGTGTTAGGTCTACCGAGGGTGTGTTGGCTATGGGCATACAGATATTGCACGTGGACTGTTGTACTTATAAGCAGGTAGTGTTGTGTGTGGCGAATGTAAGGAGTTTACCACTTTAAACATTTAGAGTGCCTTGTCACACTGGGAATATGTGATACTTTCTGGGCGCGTTCATTTGGAAAACTTTGGCTGACACTATTTTGCTGTTTTTGTCTTGAATTCAATATGCACACATGTGAGGGTTATTCTCTACTGCTGGTGTATTATTTATGGCAGATTACGCCACATAGCTCGCATAACCAGGCATACGCGTGCGTTATTGAGTGGGCGATAGCTCACGTTTCGCTGTCAATGGTGCTGAAAATGCAGGCGCTGAATTACACAGAGCTGTCCACTCATTCCAGCCTTTCTCCCTCGTAATAAAACGTTAATTAATCACAAAATCAGCTCACTTTCACTTGCCCCAAAGTTTTACAGACTAAGGGGACAGTTTCAACATAGTTTTGAAGGTGCAGAGACGCAGTAAGTCAGTAGCCTACCACGTTTTGGCATCATTCTGATGAACATTCAACAACCTTTGATAAACATTATTCCCAATGAATCGAATCAATACGGTGACATTAGGAGTAGTTAGTTTCCTTACCCCTATTGTACTGACACAGAACAGGTATTTGCCTATTGAGTCAGGGGGCTAGACTACTCTGAATACTTTATGAGCAACACCGAGTAACTGCACAAGACATGTCCCACTGGGCAACACACTGGTTGAATCAACGTTGAACCAACGTGGCATAAAATTGACTTCAAATGAATTGACGTCTGCCCAATGGGGTACACTTATAAACGCATCTATTATAATAAAAAGGGTGTAATATGAGGCCTTTACTATACAGTGAAGGCTACTACCTCCATATTAAAGGTGCATCAATACTGTGCAGGTAGCTCTGGCACAATCCACTTTTAGAGAGATTGAACGGCTATATTTTGAGAAGAGATAGGCATATCCTAATGCTATCATCAGTAAAAGATGCAACAAGATGACAGTTATTCACTACACATGAAATGCAAAACAAAACACTTACAAAGCTTTTCGGCATAGTCAGTAAAATGGTGATGTGCTTGTAACTACTTGTTAGGCTATAACACTAAAAGGTTTGCCTATACATCACTTGGTGTCCTTTGTCTCAGAGAAAAGTTGGAAGATACACATCCACAACAACACGCGAGTCTCATAGATTTCTGAATGTCGGGATTTCTGAAAGCATAAATGATGGGGTTTATCATAGAGTGACAAATGGCCGGGAGAGCGGTGACGTAGGTATAGATAGGGGGGTATCCGATGTCCGCCACCAGAGAGTACATGGCGAAAGGGATCCAGCACAATGCAAAGGTGCCAAGGATAATGGAGAGGGTGGATACCCCTTTAGTGGTGGGGGAGGAGGAGTGGGAGGTATTCATGAACTGCTGCTGCACGGCGATTTGCTGTGCATGCCGAAAAGCAATCTTGCAAATCTGGAGGTATAGTTGCAAAATAAGTGCAAATACAAAAAGAAAAGTCACCGCCAGTGCGGCGGCGTGATTTTTATCAATGGGGGCGCAAATGCTGCAAGTCGTCTCATCCTCAAGGCAGTTCCATCCCATGATCGGTAGCGCGCCCAGAGTGATGCTAGTCACCCAAATGAGCACCAGGGTGACGATGGTAAAAATCGCCGTTCTTTCCGTGTGGTAAGTCAGTGCGTTGTAAAGGGAGAGGTATCTATCCACAGTGATTGCCAGGATATTGAGAACGGAGGCCGAAAAAGCAGTGATGAGCAGTCCAGCTGATAGCAGCGTCACGAATCCCGTATCAAAAATGTAGGTGATGGTGAAATTCACTATCAAACCAAGCCCCGCCAGTAGGTCCGCGAAAGCCAAACTCCCTATCAACACGAACATGGGCGCTTTCAGGGTGGGCGTGTAAATAATTAAGGCAAGGACGATTGCATTTTCGCAGGACATTAGGGTTCCCGTGACACACAGGACTATATCCCAGGGGTTGACGCTTATGGCCACCGGTTCCAGCTCGAACTGGAATGATGGAGGTGGCGTGGAATTCCCTCCTTCTTGAATATCCCAGGTTGAGGAAGAGGTGTTTTTGAATTGGTTACTCATTGCTGCGGCAGAGAGTGAATCATCACTGAGAAAGACAGAGAAGGGGATGGGGCGCGAGATAGAGACAATTTCAGAGTGATCACCGGTGGAAATGTACAGTGTAAAGACATTTGCGTTCAAGAGTGTATCTTACATATTTCCAAATAAAAATGTGACTCATTAGACTGCCGCACGCTAAATTGCGAAGTGAATGCATGGCTAAAATGCCACCTTTTACGCATAAAGGATATGTGCGGATTATCCCCAAATTAGTCCAATCACAACAGTAAAGCTGTGTTGTTAGTGTAGGCTACTTACGATTTCCTCCGTTGACCCTCAACATATAGAGCAAAGAGTTAAATTGAAATGAGAGCCCCTCTGTAGGGAGTATTGACATCACGCATTGGCTGTTTGAGCAGAAATTTTATGAAAGGATAAACATGGAAATGAATGGGTTGTCTTTGATCTAATTTTAGATCTATGTCATTTCGATTAGTAATAGGATGCTCAATCATTAGATATGGGTTGTTCCACACATGTAGACTATTTGTACCCTCTCGCGTGGTTATAAAGGAATTCTAAGGTCAAAAAACAAATCATGACATTTCTGTGAGAAAGTGGTTCTCTAGTCTATAATTTCTCTGTACTCTAAACACGGACATCACATAATATGTAGATATATAAGCTGATCACTAACCAGAGCATCCATGCCTGTCACTATCAGTCAGTCAAGTGATGTTGCGATGGCTTGTTGAGGTCTACCCAGACGCATTCCTTGACAGCTGTTCACGGGGAAGATGGAGACTTGGAGCGCGCAGGTGGAGACTATAACCAGTATCCGCAGGCGCCGATGTATAACTTCACCCCTCTTTTTCTGTTGTTGTCGTTATTGTAATAACAAATATTTTGTTTCTCACAGGAGGACATTAAGACTTGGGTGACACACCGCTAGTGATGTTGGCAATTCGCTGGCATTGACTCTTGCTTGTTTCAATCCTATTGGTCCTGTGGATTATTCTCCAAATGACGTCAAGTGCTCCCTCTCCATTCTTTATTCGATGTGTGATTCAGAGCCCCCCCCCCCCCCCCCCCTTCATTAGCATACCAGTATGGGTAGACAACTGTTGTAATCCTAGAACCTGTAGGTGGCAGTATATTACTTGAAAGGCCCTGTTTGCCAAAAAAACATCCAGATTTTGCTATGTCTATATTGAGATAGCTGACAATTCAACTCCATCAGAAACTTCCTTCACCATGGAGTTGAGTTTAGTCAGCTATAATTTACTGAAACCACTGTCAAGCTTTAGCCTCAACATGGAACTGAAATGAAATAGCCGTCAAAATAGTGATTAGTAAGGCAGCTGAAATCTTTCGACCCCAAAAAGTTTGACCCCAACATTGGTGATTACAGAGTAACTCGATAGCTGGTTAAAAAGGACTTAAACTTGTTGACATGCCTGTCAAAAACAAATTGACATTTCCCCTTATGTTGGGAATTGTGATCGAATCAACGCAGTATTAACCACTTTCAATGTAATATACCGAAACAAAACGAACTATGCAAGATTTAGTATGCAGAACTAACTGTGAAAGAGCACATTGAAGTAGGATTCTATTGCATTGACAGGCACGACTCAGGCCCATACTCTACACAGGCAGGTGCGCCATAACCAATCAGAGCTGCAGTAGGCCTATATGCAAATAGCCATTGCCATATACTGTATGGATCTGTGCCATTTACTTTGAACTGGACTGTGTTTAGGCTACAGCGGTCGCAAGTAGATGCGCTTGTCTTGAGATCAAAGTGAGAACTGCATGTTGCCACGTGCACATTTGTTCATATTCTTTGCTAGTTAGTGAGTTATTAGCCCAGTTATAGCTAAGTTCTAGTCAACAGTGGGTGAGTGTTTGTTTCCAACAAGAGCACAAAATGTGTGCATTTCTAGCCATCTTTGAAAAGCAAGTCAAGTAAAGAGCATTTTTTAATGTCTTAAAAGGGAAGTGTTGTATTTTGAGACTGTCTTGAATAAGCTAAGTATACAATAGGCAGAAGGTTGCGTAATTTGTCTGATTCTCTGTAATAATGCTATGGGAATAATAATGAATGTTATTTTGTAAAGGGATTTCTTGCATCAAACACAACATTTCCAGACACCTCCTTGTCTGTAGGACAAGTGGATAAACAGGTTAATGTCAAGCCCTGCATGTTTTTTTCAAAGGTCTCATGGAATGTAGGCCTACATTGAACACCACACATTGACTGCTACTGTAGGCTAAATGATAGAACAGTTATTTCCACGTTAAATTGTTATGGGATGCATATCCTCCATTGTTTTAGATGGTAGGCCACTCTGGTAGGCCACTCTGGTAGGCCTACATTATGACCAAATAGCCACAGTAGCCTACTTGGCCACTGTTAAAACTGTAACTTAAAGCGGGTACAGCCTCAGTGTACACAGTAAACACGCGCCGGAAGTTGCACAGAATTTTCACAACGTTCAAGTTTGCACTCAGCAGACCTGAAATTTGCTCAGTGCCGAGGGAACATTGATAACCAGTAAGTTTTACACCCTCCACATATCCCCATCATCACCGTAAGAAGTACAATCAACTTCAGGAATCCCCAGGAGGGTGTGTGAGCATGATATCCGCATGTAAGGAAGCAAGGTGTGTGGTGTACATTATATGGTTCTCACCCTTCACTGAACCCTTGACCCTGATCACCCCACGCCTCTGGTTTCCTGTCACAACGCCTGGTACACGGCCACTTCCTGTGTTCTAAGGGAGGGGCTCCTTTAGAAGTTACATTTGAGGAACATTGGGTCATATTGGGACATAGGTGACAAGAGTGAGGGTTACATTCAGGCCTAGAGAGACAACTCACCATCTCATTCAGCAGCTTGAGGATGCTGATTGTGAGCTCCTTCCCTGCAGGGAAAAAAGGTATGTGATTTGGTTTCTATAATATAAAGGCTTGTGCTACCAGGTTTACAGGGTTCAATGGATAACATCAGTATGGAATGGTGAATTGATGGCCATTCAATAAACTCTCAGTTTTGAGCTCTATAAGATCAGTTAAGGGTCATGGCATGAAGATGACCAGTAGCAAGTTCAAGTATTTCAAAAGTACAATGATTCCTCTGCTAGTTTTACTTTTCTTAATGTAATGCAGTAAATCAATAAAGATTCAGTGCACTGAAATATAATTTATTAGGCCATATCGGCATGGTATTAAAAAGGAAGAAATTGAATTTTCATGCACCATCTAAGTTTACTCTTGGGAAAGAAGCAAAGCTTGCTTGAATAAACCACAGCCTTTTAATTTGAAGGATTCACATTGACTCTGATCAAGAAACAATTGGCACAGCAAAAGCTGTCTCGGTAAGGTTTGAGTGCATGAATTGTCTGTTGTATTGTAATGTGTCTACTTTTCTTGCAATGATTAGCAAGTCATAAACCCAGTATTCCCACCAAAGTCATGCAGGCCTCACAATGCTGTTTTCATATGTGTATGACAGAGTCTGGCTACCCAGACTCCTTGCTCAAACGTCACACTCCGCAATGAAAAACGAAAGAGCAGCTGAAGAATTTTGTGTGAGTCGTCAGACTAGATAGGCGATGTATGTGTTGAACTGTTAAGTTAGCAGAAAAACCTCCATCCACATTATGTGCAGAAGATGTTTCCAGCCGTCACAACAATAGTTTAAAAAAAAAGGGTGGACTGTCAATTAGCAGAAGAGATCGGACCCAGTTTATCTTTCTCAGCTCTGTCGTCTTTCACCTTAGTTGTTACTGTCAACACCTGCTACATCATGCATCAGTAATTTAGTTTAATTTGACTGTGTGGCATGACGCTTGTTGATTGTTAAACATAAACATGGTTTATCTTTCTAAAGCATCTGAAGGGATGTTCCTGAGCGAGCAGCCACTCATGACATGATCTTGTGAACACACCCATTGAGATAAAAAAAACATTGAGGTGATTGTAAGTTGATGTTTAAGTGTCTCAAGCGTTCATGCTTTTATTTACATCAAAAGATGATGGAGTTGAACACCTCCATCTGGCAAAGTCAATTTAGCAAAACAGCTGTGAATGACTTGCAAATACAGTACTGTACAGTGCACGGTTGTAAAGTAGAAATGGACATACAGCATCTATACTCCTCAGTGTAAACCATCCAAGGCATTCCAGGAATATCAAGTCATGTTCAGTCTGTTATGTCAATTCTTGTCATGCTGCAGCTTTCTTGAGTCAACTGAACTATTTTGATGTCCCAGCCTCTTTGAAACTGTTCAATACCCTTCTTGTCCCTTAGAGGCAAATGTGCTCCACACACCATCAGAAAACAATGTTGACGTCCGTCCTCTGTTCTCCTCTGTCTGTCTTTCTCTCTCTCCCTCTCTCCCTCTCTCAACATCCGACGAACTCAGAGCAAGCAGCAGCCCACTTCCAATTGTCATGGCAACAGCATGTGAACGCATTGGGCCATAGGAGTAGACTGTAGAGTGGATGTAGGAGTGCGGCATCGGAAGCCACCGCTCTATCTCCTGAAGCAAGCTGCAAGGTAGGAGGGGGACAACACAGGGGTTTGGAGAGGTTTATGGACATGTTTGATCAGGCTCAGTTTCACAGGAAGGTTGAGATGACAGTATTGCCATTGCTGTCCGTTCATTCTGTCATAGATTCATTTTGACTTCATGGATGTAGACATGCAGACAGAGTTGTGTGGTTTATATGAAATGTTTTCATTTTTATTGTTCAAATGAATATGTATTTATTCAAGGAAGTCGAGGGTCTCTATCTATCTCCATCTCACGCTCATCTATCTGGAAAGGTAAAACATGGACATGATTATGTCAGCAAGCCCTCTATTTTAAGCGTTGTTGTTATTGTGTGTGTGTGTGTGTGTTGTGAGAGGTTGTGTGCGTGTGCAATGTGCTGCATATTTGGGTGCGTGTATGCATGTGTGACTGTGTGCATCTGCGTGTGCGAATTTGTGTGCATGAACGTGTGCGTACATGTGTGTGTTTATGGGCTTTTGTATGTGTACATGTATGTATGTGTGTATATATACAGTGCCTTCGGAAAGTATTCAGACCCCTTGACTTTTTCCACATTTTGTTAGGTTACAGCCTTATTCTAAAATGTATTACATTGTTTTTTTCCCTCATCAATCTACACACAATACCCCATAATGACAAAGCAAAAACAGGTTTTTGGAAATTTTAGCAAATGTATAAAGAAAAAAAACTGAAATATAACATTTACATAGGTATTCAGACCCTTTACTCAGTACTTGGTTGAAGCACCTTTGGCAGCGGTTACTGCCTGGAATCTTCTTGGGTATGATGCTACAAACTTGGCACACCTGTATTTGGGGAGTTTCTCCCATTCTTCTCTGCAGATCTTCTCAAGCTCTGTCAGGTTGGATGGGGAGCGTCGCTGCACAGCTATTTTCAGGTCTCTCCAGAGATGTTCGATCGGGTTCAAGTCGAGGCTCTGGCTGGGCCACTCAAGGACATTCAGAGACTTGTCCTGAAGCCACTCCTGCATTGTCTTGGCTTTGTCCTTTTGGAAGGTGAACCTTTGCCCCAGTCTGAGGTCCTGAGCACTCTGGAGCAGGTTTTCATCAAAGATATCTCTGTACTTTGCTCCGTTCATCTTTCCCTCGATGCTGACTAGTCTCCCAGTCCCTGCAGATGAAAAACATCCCCACAGCATGATGCTGCCACCACCATGCTTCACCGTAGGGATGATATTGGCCAGGTGATGAGCGGTGCCTGGTTTCCTCCAGACGTGACGCTGGCATTCAGGCCAAAGAGTTCAATCTTGGTTTCATCAGACCAGATAATCTTGTTTCTCAAGGTCAGAGTCCTTTAGGTGCCTTTTGGCAAACACCAATCCGGCTGTCATGTGCCTTTTACTGAGGGAGTGGCTTCCGTCTGGCCAATCTACCATAAAGGCCTGATTGGTGGAGTGCTGCAGAGATGGTTGTCCTTCTGGAAGGTTCTCCCATCTCCACAGATAAACTCTGGAGCTCTGTCAGAGTGACCATCGGTTTCGTGGTCACCTCCCTGACCAAGACCCTTCTCCCCCGATTGCTCAGTTTGGCCGGGCAGCCAGCTCTAGGAAAAGACTTGGTGGTTCCAAACTTCTTCCATTTAAGAATGATAGAGGCCACTGTGTTCTTGGGGACCTTCAATGCTGCAGAATTTTTTTGTTACCCTTCCCCAGATCTGTGCCTCGACACAATCCTGTGTCGGAGCTCTATGGACAATTCCTTCGACCTCATGGCTTGGATTTTGCTCTGACATGCACTGTCAACTGTGGGACCTTATATAGACAGGTGTGTGCCTGAGGAGTATTTCTGTCTGTATTAAATACCTTTTGTGGGGAAAAACTCATTCTGATTGGCTGGGCCAGGCTCCCCTATGCCCTCCCAGGCCCACCCATGGCTGCACCCCTGCCCAATCATATGACGTCCATAGATTAGGACCCAATTAATGTATATCTATACGTTTACCCATGGAAGAAGCGGTCAGAAAGTAACTTTTTGAACCGGAATGCCAAAACATTTTGCATACACATCCATGTCTTCATCACTGGAAAAGATAAACGGTTGAGATGTATATAATTTAACCCTATCAGTCCCATGACCCCAGCAAACAAAATCTGCTTTTCATTTATCTGCATGTCAGACTAATGGTTGGTTGGACTCATTGGATTAAAAGCTTACAAACTGTGTTTTCAAACTATTTTATTATTTCTAATAAATACACATTTTTGAAAACGTAATTTTGAAACCTTTAATGTCAATAACCTAAAAACATGTAAACTTTAAATTCATATTTGCATATATTTTATCTTAGACCCCATTTCACATCATATGTGACTCGTTTCAGGAAACTAGGCATATGTCGCGTGTCACTACTTCACAGGAGAGCCATTTGAACGTAAACTTTTTATTTTGATCAAAATGCGTTTTTTGGCTGAAATGCCTTCTGGAACATGTGAAATTTAATGTGCCTTAATAACAAACTTGTATGCCATTGGTAAATACAAATACAATTGTTAAATTATGAGCCTAGTTGGTTTAGCCACAGAAAAAGACAGCAACCTTCCCACTAGCCATGATTGGCTGAGATAATGAGTGGGCTGGACATGCCAAGAGATGAGTTCAGATTGGTCTGCCATGTAGCACACTTCTGTCTATTTGAGCTGGTCAGTATGTGTAGGTAATCCTGTCTAATGCTGCTTTATAAAATATATATTTCATAGTAGAACTGCATAAGTGTTGCTCTCCACTTTCTGGAGGACCGAGTTTTGAAATCAGTGGAAATAGAGTATGATACCTAAGGAGATGGAGAAAACACCTGTCTCCGGATTACATCTTCAAACTAAGGGCAACCATGGCATCCGTGACAGAGAGGGAGAAGCATCCATCCATGTATACGGGTAAGATAGTCTAGTTAGCTACATTTTCAGATATTACACGTTTCTAATTTAGTCAGAAAGTCGTTTTCATTTCAAGTTAAAGTGTACTGTTAGCTAGCTAACGTTATCTGGCTGGCTCGCTAGCTAACATTATGTGTATGATCTGTGTAGTAATATTATTCGTATCTCAGAGTCATTTGCTTTGCTAGTTATAGCCTAATGTTAGCTAGCTAACATTGAACCTGGTTGGTTAGCTACCTGCAGAGTCATGCATGATGGTAACGTCATGAGTTGGGATTATGGATCATTGTTTAGCTAGCTAGCTAGTTAGCTACCTATATGTAACCATTTCAATAGAATGTTAATGATGTCACTGCTACAACTGTTGGTAGATGTAGCTGGTAAATCTGCACTGGCTTTCTACTCCGATTTCAGAGCACTCTCGTCTGAGTGTGCCAGAGCGCAGAATAACTGACACATTTACGAACACTCAACACCTGTTGAATATGGCCGGTGTCAGGAAACGTTGTCAGAAAAGCGTTAATTGTTGCCAGCAGCACAGTTGCAGTCACTAACTCTGGATAACATAAAAACAGCCTAACCAACTCTGCTAGGGCGAGTAAAATGGTCAGAGTCAGCTGTTCATTTGTGTCTGGAAGTAGCTAGCAAGCTAGCCAATGTTAGTCAGTTAGCTTGGGTGCTTGACTGCTGTTGTTAGGACAGAACGCTCAGATCAACCCTTAAAGAGATGGGTGGGGCTAAAGCTTAAGAGGGTGTGAACGATACTGAATGGGTGTAGACAAAGAAGAGCTCTCCAGTACATTTACATTACATTTACGTCATTTAGCAGACGCTCTTATCCAGAGCGACTTACAAATTGGTGCATTCACCCTATAGCCAGTGGGATAACCACTTTACAATTTTAATTTTATTTTTTAGGGGGGGGGGGGATGTAGAAGGATTACCTTATCCTATCCCAGGTATTCCTTAAAGAGGTGGGGTTTCAGATGTCTCCGGAAGGTGGTGAGTGACTCCGCTGTCCTGGCGTCGTGAGGGAGCTTGTTCCACCATTGGGGTGCCAGAGCAGCGAACAGTTTTGACTGGGCTGAGCGGGAACTATGCTTCCGCAGAGGAAGGGGAGCCAGCAGGCCAGAGGTGGATGAACGCAATGCCCTCGTTTGGGTGTAGGGACTGATCAGAGCCTGAAGGTACGGAGGTGCCGTTCCCCTCACAGCTCCATAGGCAAGCACCATGGACTTGTAACAGATGCGAGCTTCAACTGGAAGCCATTGGAGTGTGCGGAGGAGCGGGGTGACGTGAGAGAACTTGGGAAGGTTGAACACCAGACGGGCTGCGGCATTCTGGATGAGTTGTAGGGGTTTAATGGCACAGGTAGGGAGCCCAGCCAACAGCGAGTTGCAGTAATCCAGACGGGAGATGACAAGTGCCTGGATTAGGACCTGTGCCGCTTCCTGTGTAAGGCAGGGTCGTACTCTCCGAATGTTGTAGAGCATGAACCTGCAGGATCGGGTCACCGCCTTGATGTTAGCGGAGAACGACAGGGTGTTGTCCAGGGTCACGCCAAGGCTCTTCGCACTCTGGGAGGAGGACACAACGGAGTTGTCAACCGTGATGGCGAGATCATGGAACGGGCAGTCCTTCCCCGGGAGGAAGAGCAGCTCCGTCTTGCCAGGGTTCAGCTTGAGGTGGTGATCCGTCATCCATACTGATATGTCTGCCAGACATGCAGAGATACGATTCGCCACCTGGTTATCAGAAGGGGGAAAGGAGAAGATTAGTTGTGTATCGTCAGCGTAGCAATGATAGGAGAGGCCATGTGAGGATATGACAGAGCCAAGTGACTTGGTGTATAGCGAGAACAGGAGAGGGCCTAGAACTGAGCCCTGGGGGACACCAGTGGTGAGAGCACGTGGTGTGGAGACAGTTTCTCGCCACGCCACTTGGTAGGAGCGACCGGTCAGGTAGGACGCAATCCAAGAGTGAGCCGCGCCGGAGATGCCCAGCTCAGAGAGGGTGGAGAGGAGGATCTGATGGTTCACAGTATCAAAGGCAGCAGACAGGTCTAGAAGGACAAGAGCAGAGGAGAGAGAGTTAGCTTTAGCAGTGCGGAGAGCCTCCGTGACACAGAGAAGAGCAGTCTCAGTTGAATGACCAGTCCTGAAACCTGACTGGTTTGGATCAAGAAGGTCATTCTGAGAGAGAT